TGAGCGGCCAGCAGCTGCAGTGAGCGGCCGTCCAGAAGCCGGCGACCGATCTGCCTCGCACGGGAAGAGTGCAATGATGGTGCCAACTTGGGCCAGTGAAGCAACGTGTCCTCCACAACTAGACTGAAGAACAAAATGACAGCAACTTGTCTGTTCCCCTTCCCCCAATTCCCCAGCTCTGTTCCCATCCCCCAAATCCCCAATAAAAATCTTTAAAAAATAATTAGATTTATTGCAATTAGTAATGTTCTCTCTAATCCTTTATAAGAATTCAGGATGTCAACGCTTCAAAATTACTTTCCTTAAAGTTCAAATGTAGGAGGGAAAATACATGCTCATGACTAACTGCTCAAAGATAGTCCAACAGAGTAAGATCCTTGAAATCAGGACTTTGCGGTGTTCAGGCCATGTCTGAATACCTGACAATCCCAGAATGCTGCCTGTTGCTGTTTAATAAGAATGCATTTAATAAAAGAGAACTACAACTTTACCATTTTATTCATTTTTTAAATTCTTACCTTGAAAATTTTCTAATCAAGAGAAAAATGCCAGAATAAAAAAAGTACAGATACACATCTAGAGTCACTAATAGTTAGGGCTGGCCAAGTGGCTCAGTTGGTTAAGAACTTGCTCAAGAGTTTGAGCTCTGAACAACAGTGGTTCGAGTCCCGGCCTGAGCTGAGCTGCCAACGGGTGGCAGGATGGCTCAGCTTAAAAAAAAACAAAAAACTTAGAGTCACTAATAGTTAATATGTTTATCATGTTTGTGTTTTCTCTGTTTTCTGTCTTTCCTCCCTGCCCCTTCTCCCCTTCCACCCCCGAAAAACCCAAAAAAACCCAAAGAGCAAGGACCCGCTCTTAAATAGCCTCAGTAAATGATCAAATTCAGGGAAATTTAACAGTGATAGAATGTTATCAACCAGCACGTAGTCCAGACTCAATTTTTGCCAGTTGTCTGGGTAATGCCCTTTATAGCATTTGCCTCTTAATCCTGGATCTAATCGAAGTTCACATACTGCATTTAGCTGTGGTTCTTTTTGTGTCCTTTAAACTGGGACAGTGCCTCAGTTTTTCATTGTCTTTCGTGACATTAACATTTTCAAAGAATACAGGTTAATGCTTCCTCACAATGGAAATGAGAAATCTTGCATTTGGGGCAAAAATGCTAAGTGATGATTCTTCACAGAGCATTACATTAGTAGGTATCTGATGTTGGTTTGTTCCAATATTGGTGATGGTAACTCTGATCACTTGGTTAAGGTGGTGTCTCCAGAGTTCCCTTTGTAATTAATAAATAATTTCTGGTGTGTGTGTGTTTAGGGGGTGGAGCGGGGGTACTCTGACCCTATTAATTGTTTCCCGATAAAGTTCAGCATCCATTCATGACCCTTGCCTGATCAGTGATTACTGCTTTGGTCAAGAATGGTGACTTTCTAATTGTTTTATTCCTTTGCATTTATTAGTTGTAATTCCATTATAAAGGATCATTTTCTCTTCCACCCTCTTTATGTATTTACCTATTTATGTATTTGTTTGTGAGCATCAGTAGGGACTTGCAGGTTGTTTGGATTCAATATTACTTATTACTCTTATTTTCATGCTCATATTGTCCCCACTATGCCCAGTGGGTGTCCCTTTAGCCTCACTCCTGTGTTTGACATGGCCCCATAAGTGTGTGAGAATCATTTATTCTTTAGCCCCTAGTGTATCTATATTGAAGCTCTTCATTCAAGTCACTGCCAAAATGACAGATTTTATTCTTGCAGCAAATTGTTTTTGGAGCGATTGCTATGCCCCAGTTATTGATCTTACTCATGGTCCAATGGGAAGCCAGACAATTAAATCAGCCCTTACAATACAGTAAGTTATGACAGAGGGCACCATGGAGCACCAAGGCAAAGCTCTTTACCCCACTGGGTCAACCAAAGAAGGCTCCTGGGAAAAAAACATATCCCCTCCTTGACCTGAAATATGAATCGAAATAAAACCTAAATAAAAGTGGGAGAAGGCACAGTGTTCCAAGCTAAGGGAAGCACATATCTCTTTGAGGAATTCCCATCCCATAGAAAGCCTGTCAGAAACACCAACAACAGAGCCCCATCTCAAACCAGTTAAATCAGGATCTCGGGGGGGGAAGTCTAGAGTCCATACATTTTATTTTCTTTCCATAAACATCTTCTAGAGAATTTATCCCAAGGAGCAGTGTCACGTATCATGGAGTGAAACCTTTCAAAACTAACATTTTAAAAAATCCATTTTATTTTATAGGATTTTGAACTCAACAACGAACTAAAAATGAATGTCCTAAATTTGCTGGAAGAAGTTTTGCGAGACCCGGATCTCCTTCCCCAAGAAAGGAAAGCCACAGCGAACATCCTGAGGTAAAGGCAATTGCAGCTGCCTATTAATTACATAAGCCGATTTGCGCTATGTTCATAGAAAACAAGATCCTATCAAACCAGAAGGATACATCTTAGACTCCTGAGGGCAGCAAGGATTCTGTTCTCACTGGTGGAGTGTTACCTGTCGCCTTTTTCCTGCTGCCCCAGGAAGACGTTAGACTGGGCAACACAGCTTGTGTGCAGTGCGACTGCTCCTGTTTTGTGGGCAGACAGTGGATTACTGCAGAACCAAAAGGGAAAAGGAAGGAGCCTTGAGGATCCTCTCCTGCAAGCCCAGCAGGCATTGGCAGGCAGATTTGTTTTACTCATGTGGGTTCTAACTGTTTATCGTAAGCTTGTGTTTATGGGCAGGGCGACAGCGTTTCTGTGGGAGTCTGTGCACCTGGCTTGTGGATGTGCCACTCCAGAGTAGTTATGCATTTTCTTTGGCTTGTTGCACTGCTCCTGGACCAATTTGACTATCAACATCTCGGCTTGGGGTTTCTACATGCTGTATCAATTTGGATCCCATACTTCTATGTGATAAAGGCTTGAACTTTGCATTTCCCTCAGGAGACTTGTCTGTGTCTGTCCACCCAGCATCCAAGCAGGTAACAAGCTTTCTTATAGCTTCTTGAACTGATGGGTGGAGCCTTTTCTAGTCCACTCTACATGAGGAGGGCAGCTGTCAGTGCTTTGTGCAGACATTTCAGTTGATAGCTGTCCACCCCTCTCACAGCTCTATGGTCTGTCTCTGCTTGGTGGTGGAAAGCCCAGTATCTGTCTGCTAGGTGTGGTACTCCTTCACTTAACCTGACTTTCAGTGCCCTCTTCATTTGCAACCTTCTTTCTTCTGAGCTCAGCTATATTGTTTCTTTGTTAAAAAGAATGCTTGTGTGTGGAGGGGAGTCCATTTTAGCTCAGCCCACCATGTTTTTGGAAGTCCCTCCCTGATGCAGCAAGGCCAGATTTGGGTCTGTAATGTTTTAACAACTGGTCCACAACACATTCTTAGCCCCATTAGCTCAAGATTTCATAGCCAGTACCTTCTTTGATCTAGGAGTTGTTATGGGCTGAATTACACCCTCACTCCCATGGAAAAATATGTTGAAGCCCTACCCTCCGTTACTCAAAATGGGACCTTATTTGAAAATAGGGCTGTTGCAGATGTAATTAGTTAAGGTGAGATTGTTCTGCGGTAGGATGGACCCCTAATCCAGTATAACTGGTGTCCTTATAAGAAGATGGCCCTGTGAAGACAGAGAGACACAGAGAGAATGCCATGTGAAGATGAAGCAGAGGTTGGAGTTATGCAGCTGCAAACCAAGGAATGCCAACGATTGTAGCCAAACCATCAAAGGCTCGGAAAAGGCGAGGGAGGATTCCTCCACAGGTTTCAGGGGACATCGCCCTGCTGACCCTTGAGTTTGGACATCTAGCCTCCCAAAGTCTAAGACAGTAAATTTCTGTTGTTTGAAGCCACCTAGTCAGTGGTTCTTTGTTAGTGCAACCCTAAGAAACTATTAAGGGCCTTCTTCATTTTTTTTTTTTCATTCTATGAAAACATCTTGGTAAATTTAAGGACTCTGTTTTATATCTATTTTTGGATTTTAAAAGTATAAATACATTTTCAGATAACGCCTGGTTTCAGTGGAAGAGTGGTTATGTCTGTGAGAGATTACTGTCCCTTTTCTCTTCATATAAACACTTTATTATGCTCTTTGTATTGAAAACACTGCTATTTTAAAACCACATTCTAGACGTTTGTGTCCCCAGACATTTGACTGGATAGCTGTCAGGGAAATGGGGTTGTTCAGGCTGGGAAGGATCGTCAAGATTGGTGACTAGAAGCCTGCATGTCGCCACCCTCCCACAGCACCCATGCCAGACATGACCAATCGATCGTGAGCGCCTTCTGCCGGTACCAATCAACGCAGAGTTCTGTTGACTGACACTACCAGTTAACTGAAGGTGGCACTGAACATGATTTCTATTTACCATCCTAGGCTTTCATTATTTACCAGGCTTAAGATGTGCCAATTCTCTTTGTTAAATAAATGACCTAAAAATTGTTATATTTCTGAGATCAATAAGGAATAGAAATTTTGGTAGATGGCACAGCCTGGGAGTATAATTCTAGCGGAGCCTGAGTCTAACTTTTGCAGGATGTCACAGGTTTAAACCTTGGTTCAGCCACTTGGCGCTCTCAAGTTTTTTATCCAGTTTAAACCTCAGTTTCCTTGTTTCTAAAATGGGGCGAATCATACTTCTACCGTTGGGTTTTTGTGAAGAATACATGATATAATTTGTACAGAGGCTAACAGAATGCCTGAAACATAATTAACACTCGTATTACTGCTGCACTTGTTGTAATTATAATTATAATTATTATTAGAAAGCATTGAGAGTAGGTATTAGGAAAAAGAGTTTCTGCCATCAGGGGAATATGGCCCAAGTAAAATCAGGCTATAATCTTAGTCAAACTCAGCTTCCTTGGGCTTCATCACCTTGTCGATACAAAAGAGATTATAACAACATTAAAAGCCAATTTAACATTGCACAACAATGTAAATGCAATAAAAAAATCATTCAAATGTACACTTTAAATGAATTGTTTAGTATGTGATTTATATCTTAATATAGTTGTTATAAAAAAACAACAACAACCCACATTCATAACCAACTTGCTGCTATTTTGGAAAACAAAAAAAAGTCAAAACCAAAAAAACAGTTTCAGTGATGGGGTGCCCCCCACTGCCCACCCAGAATTCTAGTCTCTTGCAAAGTCTTCCCAAAGCATTCTAAAAGCCCTAAGAAATATGTGCTCAGGAACAAACCCAATCATTTTTTCTGCCTCCGCATCTTTATTCAAGCTCACCACCTGGGGGCCACTTGAAGGAGAGACTTTGTCAGTGCCGTCTCTGTTGCTGTGGAGAACGCTGCCTGCCAGTCTTCTGAAACCACCATTTCCCTATCAAAAAGCTGAGAAAGATACCACCACCCATCCCTGTGCCACGTGGGTCCCAGAGCAGCCTCACTCCACAAGGAGCCTCACGGTCTCCTGAAAACAGCTCCTTCAGCTCCTGGTTCCGCATCCTTGACCATAAGAATTGAAAACCCACCACAAAGCCCAGCAGGGAACAGAGTGACACCATCCTTTCTCCCACCTCTGGCCATCTTTCTTCCTGTGAGGCCAAAACAAAACAAAACTCTGTTTAGTCCTAAGCATATCAACAAAAACAGACAGATATAAGTGAGGCCACCAGCCCATTACCTGAGCTAGACAGCTAGACCCTGAGTCCCAGTTTGGGTCAGCTAGGTCTCTGGGGCACTGACTTATCTGCCCAACAAGACAGTGAATAGATTTGTACCAAAGAATCCTGGTAAAAAAACAAAAAACAAAAAAACTACTGATCCTTGGTTGAATTTCCCCGCCAAGTAATTCACTCCCTCCGTGCTACCCTTGCGAGGCCCTTCCCTGGCACATACAATTGTGATTATAGGAGAAATAAATGATACATTAAGTTTTTAGGGTTTTTGATACTTGCCATATCAGATACTTATGTTTATATGTATGAAATTGATATTTTAAAAAATCACATCAGAATTAGAAAGTAGAGTAGGAAGTAAGCCTAGATATAACCATCAGCTGAAAGAATGCCATCATTAGGAAATCTTTTTGTGGAAAAAAAAAATCATAGAGTACATGAGAAAGAAATAGAAATCAAAAGAATTATTTAACAACCTGAAAATTATAAATATTTTCTTGTTGGTTCATTTCTTAATTTGGAAACAAACGAAGACTTGTTCCCAGCAAAAGCCAGGTTTTCGTCTTAAAGGTTTCCATGCGTTTAGAGACATCTACCCTTATTTTTTTTCCCCATGTGGCAGAGCAAAGGTAGCAGTGGGCTCAAGTGAGCCTAGAAAGAAGGAAAGGGGGATTGAGACCGCACAGGAAGGAGATGGTCTGGCAGGGCCCAGCAGGGAAAGCAACAGGCGATGAAACCTTTACAAGGTGGGAAGGGGCCGAGTTTGAGGCAGGCCACGCCACGGGCACAAGCCAGACAGTTACAGGAGCGCGAAAGCAGCCCAGGGAGTGTGGACCAATGCAAGGGCAGAGGCCGACTGCTCCTGGCTCTGTTTTTAAATCAACCTGATGTCTACAAGTGAAGGAGGAATTTTCCAGTCGCAGAACTTGGATAACCCCATTTTCTAAATCTGGTGTTTCATTATAAAATATTAAACTGATGATACTGCCTAATGGATGTGAGGGAAACGCAGGATCCTGGAGCATTCATCAAAGCTTCAAGGTAGTCAGACTAGAGCCAATTCATCCTCTCTTGGAACTGGACCAGAGATACAGGGGCCTTCACATCTGAAGGGAACATTGCTGAATATACAGTACCTCCCAGTGAATATGAGTTACGATTGTGAGATAAAAACATAGCATGTTTTAGTTAAATGCAGCCCTGACATTAGAGATGTATATGCATTCAAGTCATGTAACAGGGAGATGTTAACATTAAACATGTATTTAAACATATATTACGCGAATACGGTCAAGTGAAAGCTCTCTGTGATAAAACATCTCTGCCTCACAGTCTCACAGGGGTTACTTTACGCTTAATTAGCATAGGTAGTTTGTTGCCCTGTTTGTGAATAAAACTCTCTGCTCAAGACGTTTATATTTCTAAAATACCAACCCCCTCCAACATTGTATGACTAGCTGGTTTCTGAATCTATGCAGTGTAGTGTTTTTTTGTAGTGTAATTTTGTGCGACAAAATGAAAAGAAACAATGACTTCTTGGAACGTCAACTGGAATGAGTTCAGATCACAAAATGGGGACCCTTCCAAACCTCACAAAGCCCAAGCAGCATCAACAGACTCTTATGAAGAGAGAAAATGTTAAATAACTTAAAGGGACCAGAATGTACCTTGGAACGTTAGGGTAAGATCATTGAGGAGAGTAACATTTGATAGAAGCTAACTGATTTCTTGACCATTTCTTTTCAAGGGAAGAATATTGTCCAGTCCCATAAAAAAAGATACTTTCTACGAGTACACATTGTTTTGTGGCCACTGATCTCTCTCCAGGACCCTAACTAGAGTGGAAAGAATGGCCTACATTTTAGGAAGGAGTCACTTTATCCCTTGTGTGTAACCCCTAAGTGTGATTTGACAGCCTTTGGAGAAAGAGTTGTGCTTATTTTTAACTCACGTCAATCTGCCTTTTATTATATGAGGACAATTTTTTTCTGCTCACAAATGATATGGCTAATTGCTGAAAAGAGGACTGCCCCTCCTGTAATATAGAAGGATTCTGCTCCCTGGTAAATAGCGGAAAGCCTTTGTAAGCGAGGAAGAAGATAGAGGAAAGGGGATTGATGTGTGGTCTATGCTGGATCCTTGAAGAGGTGCCTTCCACAAACCTGCTTAAGATAAGCAAGAATAACAGGAGAGCACCATTGGACCACAGCCTGGGCAAGTTAGTCAGTTTCTTTGAGTATTTGTTTTCTGATCTGTGAAACGGAGATAATAATGCTTACTTTGAAGGGATTTTTTGATATAAGAGAGTGTGTATGCCACATGTTTAGCATGTTGTGAGCATACAATAATCCATCTCTTGATTTTGTATTTTGGAGGGTGGTAGTTTTGTTTTCATCAATTCAAAGCACAACAGAACATCACATCATTATTGCTTTTGAAACCAGCTTCCTCCAGTAGACAGGCTACATGGTTTGGGACTTTTTCAATATTTTTGTACTTTTAATATGTGATTGTGCCTTCATTTTGGGAAGCTGAAAATGCTTGGCTCAGATGGCAAGTTATATAATCAGTATAATTCTGGACTCTGAACTTCTGTTGGATATGACGTATCACTCCCACTCTGAAACCAGCACCCACTACTTCAGTATTAATTAACTTAGGGATTTATCCATTCATTCATCGCTTGTCAAAAAAAAAATATTTATGGAGAGCTAAATAATGCCATGTGTGGGGCTACAGCACCAAATCTCAGGAAAGACAACCTCGGAAGCAAGGGGGAAGAATTGATCTGCTGGCTTCTGCCTCACTTTGTTTGAATTCTTGCCACCTAGGAACTCCCCTGAGCTCCTGGGCTGTATATGAGTGGGGTGGGAGCTGCTGTGCATTTTCTGTGTCAGCATGAGCAGGGAAAGGCCAGGGTAAGGAACAGGGGTGCATGGATGGGACACTCAGGACTGTTCGAACCCCTGACTGATAGTTCTGCAGGATGCCCAGATTCACGGCGTGAAGTCCCTCGGTAACACAGAGCACACCAGCTGACCCTCAGGTTCACTCTGATGGTGGGTGTTTTATTTCCAGCCTTGTATGTCACAAGTCAGCTCCTTGTTATAAGTCAGCTCTCTTGATGATCCTCCTGTGCCTTTACCGTGTGCGTTTTCTGTTTCCTTGACTGCCTTTCTCCAGCTCGTGTCTCCACAGCCTCCAGCTGACAGCACAGCCTTGCAGACCCAAACCCTCCGACTTCTTACCCAGAGAACACTGCATGGCATTTTGTCATTTCATTCCTGGCATGTCTCTTTTCTTTTCATGGAGGATATTCTGATTTTTTTTTTCAGGGCTCTTTCACAAGATGATCAAGATGACATCCACCTAAAATTAGAGGATATAATTCAACTGGTGAGTTCAGCCATGGTCTTATCCAGCACAATTATGTGCAAACTCCCTCTCAAAGGCAAGCAATATGCCTGTGACTGATAAATGAGTGCTTGGCCCTGTCTATGACCCATGAAGCGCTGGGAGATGAACCAAATTTGGCCTGGGATTTAACAGTTGGTCCATGATGTTAATGTTGGCTGAGAGTTCTGAGCTTTCCGCCATTTTCTTCATAGCTAGAATCCTTGATGGACTTTGTACTTCAGCAGCGGCAGTGAGCAGACAGGAGCCTCGCTCCCATGTGTGTTTCATTTCCGCCCCACCCCCACCCCCCACCCCATCTCTTGCAGACGGACTATCCGAAGGCTGAGTGCTTTGAGACCTTGTCAGCCATGGAGCTGGCTGAGCAGATTACCCTCCTGGACCACATCGTCTTCAGAAGCATCCCCTATGAGTGAGTGCTACCCTCACAGCAGCAGACCCCCCTCAGGCAGAAATAGCCAGCTTAGAGTTGATGTTATTTCTAAGGCAGAGGTGTGTGCAGAGGTATGAGCCTTACTCTTAAAATGGTTTGGTCCCACTGAATGTCTTGGTTCCAGTGTATGTTGGAAATATTGATTTGAGAATATTGGAGACTTTCAGGATGGTCACTCTTGTGTTTCTATATGTAGGATGATTACCATAGAATGTAAATTTCTTTTTACTCTCCCATCATGCATTACAGAAACCTCAATACAGCTGTAGCTGTGGTTCTCAAATTTCAGGGTGCCTAAAATCATTTGGGAAACTTGTTAAAAATATACATTCCTAGATACCTCCCTCAGAGATTCTGATTCCAGCAGGTTTCAGGCCCAGGAAACTATATTTTCAATGAGAAGCCCAGATAATTCTGGGTGGTCCAAGACTTCGAGAAAGACTGACCATCAGTAAATTCTGTAAACTCTGCTGCCCACTTGCATAAAGCATTAAGTGCCGCAAGCTTTGAGACATTGGGCTCATTACACAGCCTTTTGATTTCCTTATTCATAGAGTAAGGGGCGGTTCTTTAAGCCCCCCTTTGTTTGGACAAATGGCAACTGTTGACAAATGTCCTCTGTGAATGAAAAACTAAATTGAAGATAATGGGAGGGCTGGGCAAGAGATATGAACACGTGTATCCGGCAAAGAGGACGTTGGTGAGGATAGAGGGTCAAATGATGTTTAGATGGTCAGAGCTACTGCCCTGTCAGAGAGGCATCAGGGACAGAGACAGAGGATGTCCCTGCAAATTTTTATGTATTTTATCTTCTTTCCCTTCCCCTCTTCCAGCACTCAGACCAATCCACAAACATGAAAAAAATAAAATAAAATAGGAATGCGGCCCATTGGCCATACCAATGAACCCAGCAACTATTCGAGGACTTGAGTTAGGAACCAGAGTGCCTCTTGCCCCACTCGTGACTACCCTCCAGTGCAGAGAGGATTCGGGAAAAAGAGGAAGGGCAGGATCTCTGTGGAGGAGAAAGAGCAAAGCCTGAACCTTGGTGGTGGCCCTTGGTGTGGTCTCTTCCTGGGACCCTCCCACCTTTCTGCCCTGTCCCCTTTGTGCCAGTGTGAATATCTACCAGTTATTTTCATCCTTGGAACTGGCATGTCTTTATGTCGAATAGCCTTGCAGAATGGGAGCAGTACCACCAACAGGAAGGGACAAAGAAACTTGCATGGGGACTCGTCAGCGTTTCTGGATTAAGAATACGTCAGAGTAATTTTATTTCAAGTTGTTTTTCTGTAATGGCTGTAGAAAATAGTTCCTATATGCTCCATTTTGATTGTCCACTGCTTGCTGGGATCAGTGCCCTGCTCGTGGGGGAGGTGAAGGAGCACGGATATTATTTGGAAGACAGACCTTCCCCCAGGCTGAGTGCCCCCCACTGTAACTGCCTTCATCACATGAATGGGTTGTAAATGGTAACAAGGAGTGTTTGTTTATTCAGCCCTCAACACTGTGTACTGTTCCGGGCTCTGGGGACAACAAAGGACAGTCCCCTCCCATGGAATTGACATTTGCCTGGAGAATGTCAGAGCAAAGTAGAGGAAACCATGCTGTTTGTTCTTGGTTAACATTTTTGGTAGTGATGGATTTTTCGGACCTTCTACCAAGAATTACATTTTTTTTTTAAGAAAAAGCTCATCCAAAATAAATAAATAAATAAATAAATAAATAAAAATCAAAAGCTGATCCGGGGATGATAATCTTGGTTACTTTCTCAGTTAGTACTTAACTTCTTTATTCCTCTTGTGTTGGTCATTGTTTTCCAACTTCAGAGAAGCCCTTATAAGGATCCTAATAAGGACAAAGTTCAAACATTGATAAAAGAAAGCCGGAAACTGAAAACTTTTTTTTTTTTTTGTCTTGCATGGTGAAATCCTAGAGTTGAACTAAAATTCATTTTGAGATGTCTAGTAGCAGCAGGTGTTGAGCAATGTCAAGTTTAATGTATGTAATAGTAATAATAATTATTCATACCGATAACTGACCACTTAAAAAATTAATTGGTTTTCTATTTTGCTTTGTACTTTCAGAGAGTTTCTTGGGCAGGGGTGGATGAAGCTGGATAAAAATGAAAGAACACCTTATATTATGAAAACCAGCCAACAATTCAATGATGTGAGTAACCATAAAAATAAAACCTTGGGCTGTTACAGGAAGACGATGATCAGGGTCTTAAGACTCTCTCTAAAATAAAGCTACCCACATTTAAGACAGAGCTGATGGAACATTAAAGACAAGCTTAAATCTCCTTTAAACGCTCATACTGAGGTCATTCGAGTAATTTCCAGTTAACTTCCAGATGCAAGAGGTTCACTTTTGATAGTAAGTGCTCAGTAATGCATAGGTTGCTGTTATTATTTTCATCATAATCATCGTTACTTCATGGTCATAGATGGACTAGTTCTAACAGAGTGAGCTGTGTATGTGTCACTGGGCCCTGGTGGTGCTGGTGACAGTAACGTTCGGTTGGTGTAACTCCTCCTCATCATTACTGATCGCTCAGTCCAAATTACATTCCAGGGTTAAAAAGGACCTCTTTGAACATAATTATGGTGTTGCTGTCACTGTATGCAGTGGTGAGCAGCTGTCGGTCCATCTCCCCACTCTGCTTTTCTCGGGCAGCAAGATGGTGTTGCTTTATGCCCACTAACTCTTAATTTGTTCTGTTCTAATGGTCTTAGTCCTGTAATATAACCACAGATGTGGGAGTGTCTTCAGGCCTTTCCAGGCAAAGGGAAGGCTCCCTTTGCAGTTCCACTAAACTACAGTAAAAGGAATAATGATAATATTTAAAAAACAACAAAAAAAAAACCCTTTCAGAACCCTGTAGGTAAATTAATAAGTCACTTAGAAGCAAAATACAAAACAACAGTGTAGAGTCCCAAGACAGTGCTTTTGCACAGGGTACTTACTTGAAGAATACTTAAAGGCTGACTGGACATTATCACATAATGAGCATCAATGCCCCTGCTGTCTAAAGGACAGGACACGTGACCCATCTGGGCTACTCTCTGAGAAGCAGAGCCCCTGCTGGGGGAAATAAACCTCTATTGCCTGTGCCGTGCATACACTTGGGGCATAATGGACACTCAAATCCTAGATTCAGTCCCCGGCTGCAGACCCACATGTCTCCACTTGGATGGCCACTTGCATTGTGCCCGCAACAGGTTGCAAATGAACTTATCCTCAGCACCCCAGACCTGCCAAGCCTGCTTCTCCATCTTACTCTTTGTTCTCAGTCTCAGGGAACGGCCTCACCGTACACTCACTTGCCCATGCACGGAATCTAGAGGTCACCTTTGACTCCTTCTCCCTTACCTACCCTCAACCCCCCAACATGTAAGTGAACCCTAAATCTACTGTATGTCTCAGACCCTTTTCCCCTCCTTCCCCACCGCCATGACCGTGATTTGGCCTTGCACCCTTTCTCTCCAGGAGCTCCTCACTCACTATCCGCTGCCACCTCATTGTCCTCCAACCCACTCCTCAGGCAGTGTCACAGGAATAGCTTCTCTAAAAGGCCAGCCTAATTATATCACTTTCTTTAACAAAAATCTGCCAAAGTGACTTCCCCTCACCTTCCAGATATTCAACTACTGAGTTCCAACTACTCAACCTGGTCTTTGGGAACCCTTCTCACCTGTCATCCTTGTCTCTCACGACCCCCTGGGCTCCTCAGATGACTGCCAGATCCTCCATTGTGCCATGCCTTCCACCTCTGTCCCTGTGCAAATGCTCTTCTATGATGGAAAGAAGTGGCTAACTCCTCCTCATCCTTTAGGACTCAGTGCAGCCGCAACCTCATTCCAGAAGCCTCCTCTGTACTAGACCAGATGCTGCATGCTGCCTCCATGTTCTCAACACCACCCCAACCGCCCCCCCCCAACACACACACACACACACAGACTTGGCTTTGCATTTCACTGTATGGCATTTACTTGTTTATGTCTGCCTCCTCCCACACACCCCTTCCACCTAGCTAGGCTTAGCCCCTAGGTCAGGGATGCTGATGTATTTGCCTTTCTCTTCCTAGCACCTAAAAGAATGCCTGGTTCATAGTAAGTGCTCAATACAAAAAGATTTTTTTTAATAAATATGCAGAATGGTTATTCTGAGGCACTGTGAGATCTTAAGTATCTAAGGAATCATCAAAGAATGCTTGTACCCATCAGAGTTAGTGTATGGATATAAGATTAGACCCCCTATTCTTTTGTCAGAAATTAATCCTATTCTGTTCTTTTCCTTTCCATAATCTAAGTGTTGAGCTTCTTAAGCTCCCTTTTTTTCTCTTGGCTTTAACTAATAGAATTATAGTACTTAGCCTTGAAACTGTAGGTCCTTTCACCTGCTGGTGAAAAAAAATTCAGCAAGGTGAAAAGGAGAAAGTTTCTCTCTTTCCCTGCACTGAAGTGTTTCTGATTTGAAAGTTGATTAGGTTAGAAACAATTTGATTAAGGGTAATAAAATGTTTTCTTTCTCTGTGATAACTGAGGCTTCTTAGAGTGAATATCCCACACTATTGGGGGGTGGGAGCAAGGAGCATGTGGAGAGGCCCCAAGAAGAGAAACCCATGATCTACAACGGTTGCTGTTCCTCAGGGATTAGCTTATTCTCTTCCATTTCCTCAAAAAATGGTTGGAAATAACTCCTTCAACAAAATTACTGATTAACAAACTCACCTCTTCCCCCACCGAGCTGATTCCAAACAATGCGTATCTTCTCTCTGAGGATGAACAGGTGCTCATTAGTTTGTTATTATTACAGACTCTAGTCTCTTCAGAAAGTTATCTAAACGTGGACGACGATCTCCAAGGCCCTCCGCAGGCTGCTTTCCTGACACCTCTGTAGGTAACTCGGGCAGTTGGCCTGATGAATTGCTTTGGCTCTTAGCCGCCTCTCTTGGCTTTCCTTTCCCCTTGTCTCAGATGAGTAACCTGGTGGCCTCCCAGATAATGAATTACGCAGATGTCAGCTCCCGTGCCAATGCAATTGAGAAGTGGGTGGCGGTGGCAGACATTTGCCGATGCCTGCACAACTACAACGGGGTGCTGGAGATCACCTCAGCCTTAAACAGAAGCGCCATCTACAGGCTGAAGAAAACCTGGGCCAAGGTGTCCAAGCAGGTGAGCCTCAGCCAGCCACCCATCCCGCTGCCGCCGAGAAGAGGAGAGGCTGGGAGACCTGAGCCAAGATAAATTGTACTAATTAGGAAATAATTAACTGAAATGAGCAGCTCACTTGCCAAAGGAAGATGTCAATGTGGATAATTACCGTGTTCTTACCACTTAATTGATTCCACTCATGTGCATTTCTCAATGGTTAATTTAGAAAAGAAAATACAACCCCAAACACTCATTATAGCATACCCGGGAGAACCTCAAACAATGTGGTTGACACACAGGAGTTGTCTCCTGAGTTATTTAGAGAGGGTACATTGATACCAAGTGACACAGTGATGTCGAGTGAATCCATTCTTTCTCCCCCAAAGTAAGGGTGCAGATGCCATAGGGCCAAACACCAGGGACCAAAGGCCTCAATATTCACCTCTTTCCTTGTCATTCATGTCGTCACGTTAAAGTTTTGGCATGACTAGATGTGCAGAAATGGAACTTTCTTAACTTTCTTTTCATTGGACTCAGCTTGTTCATACCTATCATTTTTATTCAGATCACTTTAAGATTCCAATTAAATCACGGTTTCCCCCACTTTTTCTCCTGGCCTTTCCCATGGGTGTCGGTGGGTGTAGTGGAGGCCCCTCCAGGCTTGTGGGACAGGGTGAGCAGCCTCAACCTGGGCATCCCACGTGCTTCTCCCAGCCGAGCTGCCTGGGTGTGGGTGTCATCGAGAGTGGCTCGTCCTCCCCAGGGGACATTCTCCCATGTCCATGGAAAAGAGTCCAGACCAATGTCAATGATTTTATTTCTCGGTAAGTATCAGTTAGATTTTTCTAACAAGCTGATGAAGATAATCACAAAAGAAAGGATTTGCTGTAGAGGATATTTAGTCAGGTAATAGCCAAGCAACCAAATGTGTGCTTTGATGACTTGGGAATTAACACTCAAAAAGATTCATCATGAAACCCCCTTGCTGTGACACTTCTCCTTTAAGAGTCCCTATTCACACATGTTTTTCAGTTCTTTAAGTCCTTGAGTTTCTCATGCATTGCAAATTTTTTTTTCTGCACATTTTCCTCTCTTTTTGGCTAAATGAATAGCATAGTCACTTTTTTGTACCCACATGTTCTTCTTTTAACATCATATTTAAACATAATGCCCCATCTTTGTACTTTGAAACTCTTGTCACACAAAATTATATCACATCACAACAGTCTGGCAGAGGTACCAGTGCCTGCCACTACAGAAGAGAATGGAGCATGTTGTGGTAACTCGCTATTTTATCAAACCATAGGAGAGTTCTCATAATGTACTAAGTCGTTTGTTTCTTTCTAGACAAAAGCTCTAATGGACAAGCTTCAGAAGACTGTTTCATCTGAAGGAAGATTTAAAAATCTCAGAGAAACCCTTAAAAAGTATGTCTATATTAATTATTAAATTATCCATAATTCACAAGTATATTTACATAATTTATATAGTATACAAATAGTGGCCTACCTCCTGCTTTGCTTTGAAAAGAAAAAACAACAAATGGGAAACAACCTCCACTATCTAGGTATTTTTCTTATTTTCCTTTTCATTTGGAATACTGTGCATATCGTAAGTGTCTTATTGGATGTACTCACGGTATGCCGAGTTTTCCAAATAAAAAGAAAACACCTCCATCATTTGCTATTAAAAGTTAGAGTTGGTATTTCTTAATCTAAGCACTATGTTATTTTGTGATTTTTAAAATGTAAATATTACAGTACCTATGGATTATTGTTCTCTATTTCTGGCCTTTTATTGCTGGATCATTCTGAGAGAGAGAGAGGAAAGTAAAGGAAGGGAAGGGACGGGGAGGAAAGGGGCTAGACTTGATTCTTAACCTTCTGCCACACTTACTTGACTTACTTTGGGAAAATGTTAGTCCTGATGCCATAAGTGAAAGAATGACTCGTGGTGATACCAACAATTGTACAATAACTATTCACTGAATACTTACTAAATGACAGACTCCATGCTGAGTGTTTAATGTGTTTTATTTAAGCCTCATAACTAGAGAGAGAAGTTTTATTGTCTCCATTTTACAGATGAGGAAACTGCAGTTCAGAGAGTTGGCCCAGCATCACTTAATAAGTGGTCAAGCTGGGACTCAAACCCAGTTCTCTCTGGATCAGAGGGCCATGTTCTCAGCTGTAGACTCTGAGAAGACCCAGTGTACCCCACCTCAGCAAACAAATAAAAAATAAAGGTCTCACTTTAGGGAGCAGTTGTGATATTAATTACATCTATACCTTTTGAAATATTTAAGTACTAGCTAAAACAGAAAGCAAGTTTTACAAGCTCTAATCGCATTGTTTTTTCCACCCAGTTCTTTAAGTTGAACGTTGGCACTTTAATGAAGTGAGGGCATAGGGATTTCCTACACACATGCTCCTGCCCTCCCCCAGAGGAGTCTGGCCAATTCACAAGCACTGCAAACAAATACTGCCAACAAGAATTGCTAGCAAATATTTTGTGTTTGTCTATAAGATAGCCTGTTGTTTGAACATGCCATTGTCTCAAACACATAGTAAAGTGTGGGCCATGATATTGTATTATATTCTATTGTGAGATGTATTTAAAACTCTGCGTATCATGAGTGTG